GCGGGGATCTTTTTTGCATTCGAACCCGGACACTGCATCAGCAATGTCAGGCACCTTAGCCATTACACCATCGCGCCGTAGGCACTGTAATAATTGTAACAAAAATTACTTCTAGTTATTTCATTTTTAACTTTACTGAAACAATTAAATAAAAACAGGACAGAGCAGTTTGTTCTATCAAGTATTTTATTAAAAACTTCGTATCAAATGAATGTAGAGACACACACACATACAGATATAAATTGGAAGATATAAACATAGACTTGACAATATAAAGTTCATTAAAAAAATACCATTAAGGTACATATGTATTAATACAAATAAACTCATACAATGACAATATAATTATGTAATAACATATATATGTAAATATATATATATTTATATACCTTATGTATGTATATTTATATATGTACATACGTGCATAAGTTTATATAAACGTACATGATTTACAATGCTGTCAACATGATAATGAAGAAACATTACAGAATGAAATGGAACATATCAGTATTCCGAAATTTTTTTTTTCAGTCTATATTCACAAATACGAGTGATACAATGTCACAACTCAAATGAATTTATTCAAAAATCTAAATAATAATAATTAATAATAGTAATAATATTTTTTCAAACTTAATTTGACAGTGACGAAATTGTCTGTTATTTAATTATCAGCTGTAGAACTGTCTATATCGTTGTTAAAATCAAACACACAAATCTTAATTAACCAAAATAGACCACAATTTTCTTTCCACGCTATAACATTTGTTTGCAAGGTGATGCAGGGATTCAAACTATAAATAAATATAAATATGTAAATAAATAAATAAATTTTTACAAAATGATTGATCTGATTTTACTGCATTTAGAACCTCTAACAAAATGACAGCTTTTGTTTCTTTTCACATGACTGACTGTACATTTAGAATGACATTTATTAAGGTCAAACATATATGAAAAAATACATAATAAAGACGAAATATTACAAAATTTAAGGGAAATGTTGATAAAAACATGTAATCTTTGGTCATGAATGAATATATAAAATTAAGTACATACAAATATATCATAACACATACATGAACACTTTGTTGTCCTGATATAATAATGTATAAAAATATAAATGAAATTAATGTTTTTAAAACATTATGTAAAAAATGAGATATCATTTAAGGACAAATATAATTATATATATATATATACATATATACACATATATATATAAATATATACACATATGACATAAGTGTATATTATATAATATATATAGAGACATGAAATAGTGAACATAGAATCCCTGAATACATTCATCATTATCACATTAATGTAGATGTGTTAATTATTGTGTCATGCTATGTGTAGTATGTAAATGAGTGTAAGTAAGTTTGTATACCTGTGTTATTGTATGTATGTATGTTTGTTTGTATGAATGTTTGTATGTATGTTTGTATGTATGTTTGTATGAATGTTTGTATGAATGTTTGTATGTATGTTTGTATGTATGTGTGTATGTATGAGCGTGTAAACATTAAGGTATCAAACATGAGACTAAATGTATACATAATATATCAATGTGCAATTGACAAAAATTGAAAAATACTCAAAAAGTTAAAAATAAAACATAATACTAAGTATAATATATATATATATATATGTATTTTTTAGTTAATATATATATATATATATATATATATATATATATATGTGTGTGTGTGTGTGTGTGTAATATAATATCAAAAAGAGTTAAAATTATTACTCTATAATGTAGATTGTGTATTATGATGAAGGCACTTTTTAATTCTTATTAAAAATGGCACACACACAAGTGATGCTGTGTAATGTTATGTTGCCTTTTTAACGTAAAAATTAAATATTAGAGTAAGCATAAGAGCTTAAATATAAGTGAGTTTATTTATATATATTATATGAGCGTCAGATCTTATTATTTGCCTATATATTTGCAATTATTAAAGAAATAAAAAATCATTTCATTGTTGCCACATTGTGAGTAACACATCTGAATACATATGTTTGAATCAAAAAAACTGTTCAAATGTTTAATATCAGTCTATGAGATGGTTTCTTATCTTATAAATTGGTCATCTTATGGTACAAATGTTCATCTTACCTCATCAATGGGCATCCATTTACTGACTTTCTGCGTTCTTGATGTAGATCAAAAATGGTAGTGGCTGATGAGGTGATGGTTGATGTGGTGAAGTTTGTAGTTGGAGAAAACTTTCCCAATTGTTGACAAAGTCGTTTTGATCTTCAACCAATGATATTGTTGGAAACATTTCCATTTCTACTTCCTCAGTTTTCATTCCTGGGTCCTGGTTGAATAAACTGGAAAAATTAACATCTGGACATTGGTGCACATTCAGAAAGTCTTCAAATGGACTGAGGGGTGGGTCTGCAGGTGCCAGGCAATTGTTTGTTATTTTGAATGAAGAGTTGTTTGATATTTTGAAAGAAGAAATTTTTGCAATTTTATAAGAACTGTCTGCAGTTGTAGGTGCCAACGATGCTTTAATTGGCTTCATCACTGGCTCCGTAAAAGTTGATAATGCAGGTTTAGTTTTTGTCACTTTCGGTTTTTGCACTTTTGGAATGTCGTTTTTTATTTTTTTTGGTAATTTTTTTTCTTTATTCTTTTTCGCTTTTTTCGCAGTAGCTTCTTTTTTCTTTGGCTTATACACATAGAAAGGGTATTGCACAGAATGGCGCATCTTATAATCCTGCGCTAAATCTTCATAGGGTTTCTTTTCTTCGGCAGTCATCGATCTCCACTTTGCTCCACACATCTTGCTGATTACGGCATTGTGTAAAGGCTTTTCAGACATGGTCGATATTCTCAACCTTTCTCTCTGAGCAAATATCATGAAGGAATTCATTGGCCTCTTTATATGACCATTTGTTGATTTCTTTTTGCAATTTGTTGCATCAGTGTATGGAGTTTTTGACTCCATAAGGATTTTATTTGTATCTGGGAAATCCACAATATCAACTGGCCAGGGAGAAGATGATATCAAACCAGGTGACATCTGAGAAGATGATGACACCGACGATGACAACGACGATGAAAAGGATGACGGCGTTGTCGGAGGCGAAGTTATCACTTCCTTGGTTATCATGTTGAAGATGTTGTCTGAAATGCCTGGAACGAGATCATTGAGGTCTATATCGAACAAGTTCTCCTCGCAAACATCGGATGTGTATGAGGAAAATGGACTCTCCATTCCCATTCCCAGTTCGCTACTGAAGGACATTCTTCGGGAGAAACTTTTCCACACTAGACTACTCTGAATTCTTATGAAAAAAAATAATTCAAATGTTTATAATTTGCATAATTAATAAGCAAAAGCATGTAAACTTGTAAAGTGTATTCACAATTAAAAATTTATCTTAAAATCGTGCAAAGTAAAAATTTGAGTCATGGTTTTGATTTTTTGAGGTATAACTGAAGTTTTCATAAAAATTAGATAGATATATAAATAGCATACATCAAAAAAGATATATAAATAGCATATTAAAATAGTTGAAAATTTATCTCACTCTCAAAATGCTTCGATTCTCAATCTCAACATGCAATCAAACAACTATATTTTACTTTACAAACTACAAATACCAGAAAAAAACCCGTGAAAAAGCGTTCAACAAATCTGGTAAGTAGTCATCCTCTCCGTCTTTTATACCTAGCGAACGTTTTTGATTGGCAGTTCTGTGGCCTATTTAAATTAGACTCCACCTATATTACTCATGCCAACCAATAATATAAGGTTATTAATAGTTCAACTCCACCTATTCCCATTCATAAATAAAACTCATTTCCATCTTTGCAGAACCGAATGAACTCGGAAATGTTGTGTGTGTGTGTGTATATATATATATATATATATATATATATGTGTGTGTGTGTGTGTGTGTGCATGTGTGCATGTGTACGTGCGTGAACGTACGTGTGTGTTTTAGTTAGTACTCACACGCAGTATCTACTCGAAATGGACAGACATCTATCTAATGATTTTTAAATAAACAATAAATAATTATTTACACAAACACACGCAAAAACACACACCACACACAAAAACACACACATATATAATTTCTATATATATACTTATTTGTTTTTTTATTTTTTCAGTTAATTATACAGCGTAGTGTATCCAAGGGACGTAAAAACTAAAAATGTACCCCAGTATTTTACTCTGTATTCCAAAATTTACATCATGCACAATTTAGAAAATCTCTAAGTGTTGATTTGGATTTCTCCCTAACGAATAATGAAGGTTACACGTAATAAAAACTGCTCTATTTATAAACGCTGCTCTATTTCCTGATGACAGTATAGTCTCCAATTCAACTATTCAGTCATATTTTCAGTTTTTGGAGGGGTAATTGGTCTACGGCTGCTACATGAAGCGCCCACAAAATTTAAAAAAGTAAACATATAACGAAGATTTTTATGGTTCTTTTTTCAAAATATTTGATTAAAAGTTGAATACGCAAATAAATAAAAAGGAAAAAAACGAAAAAAAATTAATTGTAGGCACCCCAGAAGTGTTGTTCCTTAACGAAGAGCAGAATTGATGAAACATATGTGCCTGCCTGCCTGCCTGTCTGTCTGTCTGTCTGTCTGTCATGCATACACGCGCTTAATAAGGAGACACTTACCTGACATGTGAACAGAAATCTCCACTCCTAAAACATGGGAACTGATTTACACACATACATACACACACACACACACACACTCACTCAACACACACACTCACACACAACTGTTTATTAATTCATTTCTAAAATTGAAAATATATAGATTGATGCATTCATAAATACATACATTATGCATGTATATACATATATACATGCATGCAAGTACAGTACATACATTTATACATGCGTTTGTGTGTATAGGCATGTGTAGGCATTTGGCACATAAACATACAGACACACATAAACAAACACACACACCCACAGTTCCAGATTTGATTGCTAGATGATCACACACACACACATGAACAAACACACACACATATCTATATATATATATATATGTATATATATATAATGATTGCCACATACAGACACACATATACAAACACACACATACAAATACATAAACAAACAAACAAACACACACACATACAAACACACATATACATAATGTATATTATTTTGACTGCCACCGGGGGCAGACACGCAGAAATGTAGTCCTAATCTGTTGACACAAATGTCTCGCCAAACAAATAACTATCAATGAAGATCTTGTGTTGTATACCATTTCGTGTTTGCTATCTTTTGTATGTACAACTATTTCGTAATGATTATAAGGTTTGAAAATGTTTTTTTTTGTTAGTTGTGTTTTTGTAAAGATTTTTAATTGTTGGTCGTTAAAAAATGACTTTTTTTGTTGTTATGATTTCTAATTCAAAATTCAATTCTTGCATAATTATTTGTATTAAATTTAATGAAACATTAGTTGTTTCATTGCAATTTATAAAAATTAATTTATGTTTATTAGGAAATTTTTCAACATGTTAAACGATAGATCCTCTCACAAACACTGGCGTACCGTCACGCATAGAATTCTCTGTACTACAACAGCGTTGTAACGTAGTACAACATTCTACCGGAGCTTGGGCATAGCGAACAATCGTACAACGGCGATGAGGTTTACGATACAACACCATCATCTTGCGAGTGCTCTATCCTCTTTCATTCTGTTTATCCAGCACTCCAGTTGAAGCAGCAGCAGCAGCAACTACAACAGCCGCAACAAGAACTCTTCAGATGAAATGTTACTTTGGACTGATTCCATTACTTTTATGTGCATTGATTTTCAGTTTTATTGGTTGTTCTGGGACCTACTTATGTTAGATCCCGCCTTTTATGATCCACGGCAGATGAATAATTCATGCTTGTCAAACACCTTCCAATTGCAGCCATCGATGTTTAGTACACCTATCTACACGTGCATGTTCACCCATATTTACGAATAGACATAAAGAGACATGCAGAAATACATTGCTGCACCTCACACAATTAAATAATTCAGATTTCGAAGACAATTAAACTTACTTGGAAGATGAGATCGAATGTAAAAACACGGAATATGTCGTCTTTACTATGTTTAAATTATATTATTTTAAATTATATACTTCAACGTTTCTAAAAACGAGTAACAACCATTCTCCATCCACGACATCAATTCACGCGTACCATAATCGAAACAACGTTTCCAATTTATAGATCAAAGAGCACAAATCCATAAAACACATGGAATCATTCACACGCAAACAGAATAACACACACACACAGAGACAGATAGACAGACGAACATAGTAACAATTATACGTACGAACACATAAAAGTACATACAGACAGACAAAAATTCAAAAGCCCGCAGACTTACAATACAGACATACAAAATACGCAGGCTCATTGACACGCACATATTCAAGTATAAAGACGTACAAACAAATTATACACAGACACAAACGTATGCAGTGACATAAATACGCAAACATATACACACTCATAAACACAGAAGCGTATATACACACAAATACGTATTGATACACACATACATATTTGCACGTACGCACATGAAACCGCAGAAACTCATATCAACACACACAGACACACACGTATATAAACTACACACACACACACACACACACACACACACACATACACAAACGTCAAAAACTGAGATACCTTACATGATGGGGACAGTTGAGTGACATGTGAGGTAAGGTTAGTAAGTTGCTGGTGATCGTATTGTTGGTGTCTTAGTTAGTGAGTGTCTTAGTGTAGGTACACATGGTTTAAATTGTAACGTTATATTTTGCCTTAATATATATTATGAAAGTTATGCAGTATATATATATATATATATATATATATATATATATATATATATATATATAATTATATATACCATCACTCAAATGCTCACCTAATGTATAAACATACACATGTGTATGGGTGGTTTTGTTTGTATGAGTAAAAGAAAGAAAGAGAGAGGAGAGGAAAAAGAGAAAGAAAGAAAAAGAGAGAGAGAGAGAAAAGAGAAAGAGTAAGGGAGAAAAAAACGAATATATCTATAAGACCATAAAATGAAATTGCAGCCATGTGCACTTAGTTTGCATGAATGCATTTGTGGATGAGTGTGTTTACGTCTCTCTCTCTCTCCCTCTCTCCCTCTCTCTCTCTCTCTCTCTCTCTCTCTCTCTCTCTCTCTGTGTGTATGTTTTGTTTTAGATTTTATCAACTCTTCCACTTATTCCTACATATTCCTCCTCTCAATGAAGCATATCAAACTAAACCACACAGGGAAATCGATCAATGTAATAAACATGTCTGGATAACATAAAATGATAATGCGATGACTAATGTATATACAACACATCACGCACACACGGATATATATATATATATATATATATATATATATATATAATGATAATGTGTATACATTTTACGATTGTATACGTGTAATACACATTTCAATACACTGCATATATGCATAATTAGTAATGGTAATAAAAATTGTTGAAACCCTGAAACGATCGTGCTTCATATGTCGTTAAATTTACTTGTGTAGGTAATTAGGTGAGTGGGTTATTTGCATGAGGGCTGCTTTTGTTAATAAATATGTCAATGTCACAACTTTCTAACAACACCCTGCTTACTCTCTGGCCAGGCTGACTTGGCTTTCCATATCAAATTTCCAATTACGACTTCTATGTTAGAGTTAATCAGTTTGCCTGGGTATGTGGTGAGAGTGTGTGTGAATGTGTGCGGGTTTGTGTGTGTTTGCGTCAGTTAGTACGTGTGTTAGTGTGTGTGCGGTGCACGTTCTTGTGCATGTATGTGTGTACATTTTCGGATTCCGTGTCTAGTTTCTATTTTTATCTGTTACTTTACAGTTTTGTTTTTTACTCTGTAGTTATTATTTTGTTGAATCATCCTTATGTTTTTTAAAAAATTCAATTTCGTAACGTATCAAGCGTTTTACAGTTTATTTCAAACATTTATTAACGTATAACACAAAGCAATGTTTAACATTTCAATAAATAAATATTTGGTTATTGGGATGACCCATTTTAGCAATGTAAACAACATTTTTTGGTGTTATATTTCAAGAATGAGGTTAAAAAATTATTTTTTACACGTTTTTAACTTTACACAGGTTTTTCAGAACGTTTAATTAAAAAAAAACCTAAAAATATGAATCTACACAAACTTCATAAGTGGGAAAAAGTTTTTTTTTAATTTGAATGAATCAAATTGATAAATACTAAATATGTTAGTGCCTATGTGCCATGTGTTAGCATGTTTGTTTGGAACCGCGTGTATGTGCTTCTACGTTTGCATGTGCATCTCTTTTTTTGTGTGTTAGTGTGTATGTGTGTGTGTATGTGTGTTTTTATTTTTTTTTGAGAAAATAAAACAAACAGAAATATTGCAAAACAAAGACAAACTCTGAAAGTTAAGAGTAACAAAAAACGCTTGAATAATATGCACAATTTCGTTCTTTACAATAACGATCATAATAATAACGCCTCGAGATTAAATAATTCTTTGAGGATGAAACATAAACCGCAGAATCATCATTCATCAACAGACAGTGAGCAAATCCTGTTCATGCAGTCTTTCGCAATCCCAATATATCATGCCCACAAAAGTCTGCGCGGTTACATCTGCCTTCGAACCGGCAACCAAGGTGATTGATTAAGCGACGCAGCCCACTCATCTGACTCCGTGTTATCTCATTTATTATTTGAATAACAAATGGCGGGTGAATTTATTTTGAAGGAAGATTAATTGACGCAATGAAATTCATTTGCCCGCGCCCGTGCTAACAAGCAAGCGTTCGTTTTTTAAACAGCTCGTGGTCTGTATGTCGCTGCTCCTGTCCAATTTGAATTGTATAAGCTTCATTTTCCAATAATGTTCGTAAAAAAATTTTTCATACATACATGAAAAAATTACTTAGTCAAAGTTTCTTATGAAAAGATTAAATATATATGCGTGCGTGTGTGCTTGTGTATGTGTGTGCGTGTGTATGTGTGTGAGAGACATCCTTTAGTCTGCACTGATCGTAAAATTTTTATTTAAAAAGAAATACAATAAACTTAAATTGTTAAAAACTAACGTACGTACGTAGATGATGTAATTGTCCCGTCTGCCTACTACAACCACTTTATTATCATCTATAATAACTTAATTGATATTAAACACACTTCCGTCACTTTCTATAATGACTATTTTTTTATTACAACTTGAACACTGAAATTTTAAAAGTAAAAAGTTAAAGTAATTTTACTGCAATCACATTTATGCGTAATGATGGTACAAATATATGTGCATGGTATTAACATAAAATACACGCTAGTACGTACGACATTGTGGTAACGTTCAAACCACAAATGTCAATTTCCTTAGAATGAAAACTTCATCCAGAGCACCCGCGACAGCCACAATTGACACATTGAATATGCTTCCCCTCTTCCAGCTTTGATTTCGGAACTCTGCAGATACAGTTCGTGAGGAAACTGGTATTCTGGGTTTGAATGCAAGTGAGGCAGAAGAGCTTCTCGTAGCCCATCTTTTTCCACTTGGCGATCAGGTTGGCGTCGGCTATCCTCTCTTTCAGGCAGTACTCATATAACTCTCTGGAGATGGCTCGCCTCCTGTAGAAGAGATCGTATATGTACCTGGATCTCTGCGAGTGTACCCTGGATATAGGCCAGAGGGATTCTATCTTCCTCATTCCTTCGTGAGGTTTCGCTTCGCCTTCTCTCATCTTCAAATCAAACTCATCGAGTGTCGGTTCGATGAGATCCCAGCCATCTGGCGGAGGTTTGCGACGACTTCTCTTTACTTTCGGCATAATTTGTTTCTCGGGAGTTTCAAATGAATTCCTAAAATCAAACGATGTCTGGACTAGCAGTCGAAAATGTTTGTTGGTTATCAAATGTGTGACACATTACTTTATATAACCTGATTAACGAAGAAGTTGTAAAAAAAGATAGTAAAACAGGTTGTATGATAAAACATAGAACTATTCAATAAAGAAAAGTGTTGCAAAGAAAATTACAAAGAAAATAAACGATCTATCAAAATAATTAAAATTATTAACTAAATGAATAATAAACTAATTAATTTGCTATTTAATTAGAAATAATTTTAGAAACAAAGAATTAAAATATTATTAATATTTAAAACAGCAAGTCTGAGAGAGTTGTGTGGATGTGTGCGCGTTTGTTTGTGTTTGTGTGTGTGCGTGTGTATATTTCAGACAGACACTCACGATATTGTTTAATAATAATAACGTTAACATTTGGTTGGTTGGTTTATTGTTATTCACTCACTTTATCTACAATCATTCATTTCAGTGCAATTTAGGTGCGAAATATGAATAAAATAATTTTTCAAACAAAATCAGGACACCATCATCATCACCACCGTCATCATCATCACTATCACTCATTATCATGATCGTCATTGTCATTATCATCATCATCATCATCATCATCACCATCTTTTTTAATTAATATCATCATCGTCGTCGTCATCTTTCTTCACTATCATCTTTGTCATCACAATCTACATCATCATCATCATCGCATTTGTCACCATCATTGTTGCAATATTACAGTCACCATCGTTACATCCATTAACAACAGTGGACACTTTTTCACAGAACAAGAACTAGACAAAATGTATCTCCAAAATTACAAACTAAACAACACCAATCAACATTAACACCGTTATTAAAAACATCAAACAACAACACCACCATCTACAACACCAACAACAACACCTACAACACCAACAACATCAACAACAACACCAACAACAACAGCAACAACAACACCAACAACAACACCAACAACAACACCATCAACAACACCAGCAACACCAACAACAACACCATTAACACTAATCCAGTAGTAACAAATTAAATATGTTAATAAAAGACAATCAAACGAAAACAAATGTCTGTTGCTGTTTCCCTGTTTCCCACTGCTCCATTAACAAGGAGCACTAATTGAAAACACAATCTTCTTTTTTTCCTTTCTGTCGGGTTACTAGACTACACACACATAACGCAATACCTGTGTGTGTGTGTATGTGTGTGTGTGACTGTGTGTGTCAGTTTGTGTGTGTGTGACTCTGTGTGTGTATGTGTGTCAGTCTGCGTGTGTGATTCTGTGTGTGTCAGTCAGTCTGTGTGTGTGTGTGTGTGTGTGTGCGCGTGTCAGTCTGTGTGTGTTTGTGTGTGCGTGCGTGTGTGTGAAATTTAGTATCGTATTATAAGGCTGCCAGATTTTATCATTCCATTCCGTGTATTATTTAACTTCTCATCAACTTGCTCTGACAAGAGATTTAAATTTTAAATTACAAGTAGTTATACCGAGCGTGTGCGGGGGTATGTTTAGGTATGTGTGCGTGCATGTACGTGCGTGTACGTGTGTGTACGTGTGTATGGGTTGTACAGAAATACTACTGAAACGTGTGCACGATACATAATACATATGCATAGATATGCTTGCATAAATTTCAATAGGCTTTTTTTTACTGAGTTTTTTTTATTGACGTTTTTATTTTAGTAATTTCCGTTAACAAAATTTGCATCATCACGTACTGAGGTTTGTCATCATTTTCGCCATCATCATCGTTAACACCATCATCATCATCATCGTTATCGTCATCATCATCATCATCATCATCGTTATCGTCATTTTCATCATCATCATCGTCATCATCATCATCGTCATCATCATCATCGTCATCATCATCATCGTCATCATCATCATCGTCACCATCATTATTGTTGGAATAATTGCCATGACATTTTTCTCGTCATCATTTTCCTCTTATATACTTCCGTTTGATCATCCTCCTACTTCTTCCTCGTCATCGCCATCATTAGTCAGCACGTCATCGTCGTTGTCGTCGTCGTCATCATCTCTTTAATCATAATCAGCATCTTGATTATCAACGACGCCGTCATCCTCTTC